TTTTTTTTTTTGTGTAAAAAATCAGTAGCCCAACTCTTCGAAGGGCAAATGCGTTTGGAAGCAAAATATGGATGAGAATTTAATTTTAATGATTAGGAATCATCATTACAGTGTGATGAGCACTACAGTAGTATTCTGAGAACAATATCTTCGCGAAGTGAGGAGTTTCATCAAAGTGCTTTCACAGCAATGATGTGTTTACTTTCACAGGGTAGCAGCATCCGCTCTGAGAGTGGACACAATTAGCATCGCATAAGCAGCACGTGCTATGCGCATTTGTTTGCAAAATTACTGGAAGAATTACAGAAATTGGACCTATAAAGTGCCTTGAGTTTATTGAAATGTTAGTTACTCACAGGGGCACGTAGGTGCGATATGAGATTTGGAGCATGCCTGTGCCGCACATTTCGGACACTTAAAAAATATTTGTAACAAAAAACGATTTCGCCAACCAATCAAGCTACACAATGAAATTTTACGAAGATATTCTGTGCCCGTGTGCGGCATAAGTGTTTCAGAACCAGCTTTAAAGTGCGCCTAGCTCTCGTATGCGCCTACGAATTATGTTTGGGATATCGTTAGCATTCGGTTAACTTGACAGGGCGTAATTTTTTTGTGAAGATATTTACTGCTTATTTGCAGGCCGGCAAGTATAAATAAAGTTTTTGCATATATGCAAATGCAAAAACGCATATTAACAAGAGACTATTTGTGTGTCTGTTTGTGTGTTTGCAGTTTTTGTCGCCCATTTGCCACTCGAGAACCGGAAAAGTTAGAAGGCTGAAAGTTCAGGGGTATATACGCACTCCATATGCGAATTACCCGTTTTAATATCATCACCCGCGTGCGACTGGATTGCAAGTACGAAAGCCTCAAAATATGCAAATTTTTTGGCGGGGAAGCGACTTCGGAAACCAGAGAAAATAGCGAGCTAAAACTTTGCAGAGATATTCTCTATTCAACCGTGAGCTAAAGTTTCAAATCCAGCCCCTATGCGTCCATGGCTCGCAAATATGAGTAAGAGAAAGATTTGGAAAAAGAATTGCTAACTCGGTGACCAGAAAGGCTGGAAAGGTAAAATTCTAAAGGGATGTTCCCTGTTCGGTTGCAGTTTAAAGATTTCAAATTCAGCCCTCAGGTACGCGTGGCAATCAGATTTTTTGGCGGGAAAATTGCTAATTGAACAGCTAGGCCATTTTGAAAGAACGACCGCTAAAAAGAAATTGTTTTTTTGGTTTACACAAAATTTACGATGATTTACGGTAGTGGGTGCACAAGGTAAATGTGAAGCAACAATCATTCATGCAGTTAACCTAATTAATTCAAATTTGTTGCAAAAACGCAAGATCGCACCGGCAAACTTGGTGCGCCGCAGCCTGGGGTGCTTATGCGTACGGTATACGTACAGACACAACAAATATTCAAACTGCAATGCTACTTCATTCTTCTCTCTCGGTAAACAGAAGGATAAGAAAACTGAAAGCCTAATGGAATACTTCCTGATTCCTTGAGTCACGAAACACTTGCTAACTTTCGCATACAGATACGGCAAATTTCAGGCTGCGAAAATAAGTGATCGCATCGACAACAATGATGCGCGTCGCTGTTAGGTTTAACTTCTTTGATCTAGTTTTAAAGTTTGTAAATTAAAAATATGCAAACCTTGTTCGTTTTGCACATCACTGCACATACTTTCACTTGTACTGCTTTCGCCAGATGTCCCGCCTTGTCGAATAAATTTCAACAGTTTGTCAGCTACAAGTGAAAAGTGAAAATGGAAATTGTAGAAAGTTTTGTCCGAATATTTCAAGAAAAACCAGAATTTTAACTGAAATCAAAAAGAGGCACGTGGCAAATCTCGTATTATTGAGAGAAAAAGTAAAAAAGAGAAAGAACAAACCTCTTTCAATTCCCAGTAGCATTTCTAAATCCTTTGCTTCTTTTTCATCCTGGCTTTGCTGCCGTCGAAGGGCAACCTGCGCTGCCATCACGCGCTGTCGTTCCGCGATAAGCGTGCATTTTGCGCAAAGACAGTCTTTCCATTTACAGTATCGCTTATGACCTAAAAGCACTAAAATTTCTTCCGAAAGTTTTTCAAAATTTTCGGAAAAGATCAAAGTGTTTACTGGTATTGTTATGGAAATTTAGAATATGCCATAAAAAGGAATTGTGATTAGTGTGTCGCGGGCGAACGAACAAGGAAGAAAAGGGATGAGGAAGTAGAGATGGAGGGTGATTAAAGCTTAGACCAAAAATTTGCCTGAAAAATTGATTCAGCATTTTCTCATTAAAATAAATGAGGCTACACATGTGAGGTCAAATAAGTGAAGGTTTTTTTCTAAAGTATTTGTTATAAAAATCTCTTAAAGTATAAAAATAAGAAACACACCCATGCTCCTGGGACACTCCACTGGAAGGATGGAATTTTGAAGACGAAGCAGAAGCGATTTACATAGCCTTAATTAAAGCAAGCAAAAAGCACCACCTTCTAGAACTGTTGAGGATTAACAGAGTGACCTGTGCTCTTCCAAGGAGTCTTGAATTCTCCACTACAGCATGGTTATTTGTTCAAATTCCCCGGGATTTTCCGACTGGTGCCCTGGTCTTGTTTTTGCAGTGAAAACAAGCTCAAGACAGTTTCTTCGTACCTTTAAGCGCCGAAACAGTGCCATGATTCCGGCATCGGGCGCATTTTGGTATCCGCTGATTGCGCTCCTGTCGTAAGCGTAAAATCTGCTCGATACTACTGGCTCCAAGACCGCTCAAAGTTGGTAGATTGTTCGGATTCAAACTCATTTTTTAGCACACTTGGTAAGCTGTAACACAGGAAGTGCAAAAAAAAACGTTTTTTAAAAAAGTATGTCCCGTTGAAAAAAACTTGTCTGCAGACTGTCAGTCTAAATTTCACTCAGTGTATTCCCGAGTGTTGACAGGGTAAATTTTACAAAATCAACTCAGTTTCGTTTGAAAAATCCTGAATTAGTTTCCTGGAGTAGTTCAGTCTGCCCCTCCCTTTCCTCCGCCTTACCCCCGAAAAGGATGCTCCTTCGTTTTTATTTGTATTTCAAAAACTTTTAACAAATTTCAAATGTTTTTTTGTTCTTCAAAAATTTTTAATAAATATGCATGCAGTAGAAAAAATTTTAAAATTCCATATTTCATGTTATGTAAGTGATAGAAACACTCGGAAGTGATCTAGGTACTATCACCTCCTATCCACTAAGAGGCCCTCTTTTAGCCTACGCAAAAAATTAACAAAGTAATACTGAGTTTCTGCTACTGTGTTTCAAAGGTTTAAGTCAACAATTCAACAAAATTATCGTTCTCTTAAAGCTGTCTAGCATTTGCCATTAACCAAGCTGAGCAACAAAAAATTAAAATCCTTGCACAATTCATTCTCTATAAGAGCTAGGGGTACTTCGAAGTCAACAGCAACCACGTGTTTTCACGGTTATCGATAACTCCTGCCTTCGAAAATTCATTGAAAGTAAGCTGAGAGCAGTATTCCGGCATGCGCTGGTCAATTTCCACTTACAAGCAAAACCTATCAGCCACAATAAAATTACAGCGAAATCTTCCCCTATCTTGAACTCAAGAACTAGGGTGGACTATGTGTGTTGCAAGCTAAACCAGTATTATACCCAGCTGCAAGCATCTGTAGCTACGAATGGGCACGCCCATAGTCCGAAACTCTATTGGTTCATCCGAACGCCATTTCTCAAGCAAGCACCACACATATACTGTCATTGAAAAAGCTAACATAAGATTAATGATTCGCGCAGGCGCAAAAAGCTTTTCCTGGTGTGTATGAATGGTGTGCGGCTCGGAATCGAAAAGCCTAGCATAGCTATACTCGGAATATGGAATCATCCCAGTAACATTGTCAACATTAGATACTTCGCTGCGCGGATGATCTCGATATTTTCAGGACTGAACATGAGCAGGAAATGTCCTCCTAAAATTTCAGTTTCCTAGCTTTTCTGACTGTTAAGCTGAAAAATATGGACAAAACACACGCCACCACAGAGCCTCGCCGATATTCGTTTTGTTTCATCACTGCTGCACACGTCGCAAACTATTTTTCTCTTGGAACAGCTTCAGCGAGAATCATCGATTGCTTTTTTGTCATTTAGTTGGTGATGATCCGATAGGAGTTTGACCGATGTTAATGTATTCCTACAAAACACCTCGGGATTCTAAATTTTTTAAATGGTTAAGCCTTTTCAAAGCGTGCATAATAACTGTTAAGCTGATAGCAGGAAACGAAAGAGCGTAAGGACTGCTAGTGGGCTGACCGTCAAATGATATGGCATTAGTCAGAGCAGTTGGAGAACTTTCAAACTGCATATTTCAAGAATCTCACTAGGACTGTGTTGTAAACCAATAGATGGGCAAATGGGCCGACAAAAACAAGTCTGCGGCGGGGATTTCGCGTGGATTATGATCTGCGACAAATCCGTGGTCTAAATGTCGAGGAAGTTCTGCGAAAAGCCAGCGGCTGAAAAGTGTGCGCTGCTTGCCTAGAAATAAATGCGAATGGCACAGCTACAGAATACAAGTGCTTCAGTGTTTGAATCGTACGGACCGGTAGTGCAGGTGTTTAAAACGCCGCGAATGGATGTGGAGACGAATTTTTTATTTTTTTCCCCGATTCATGGTCATTAGCAAAAAGGGAATCTGTCTACGAGAAAAGTGTACAGTAATTCGTATTCTGGCATAGTATTGGACATGAATTGAAGTACTTGCATCTTTCATTCGTTACAAATGCTGTGAAAGCATTTGAAAATAGAATCCGCGGTAGCATTTGCTAGTTGGCAAGCGCGTGCTGACTGGGCTCTCGATGGCTCCTTCACTTCCTTCTGTATGTGCTAAAATATGGAAGAGGATGAGGAACACATCGCCTGGAGCACTTGTGACCCAAGAACGCGGTAACTCTTTATTCTATTCTTACTATAATTTACATTAGTCAACAACGGTACTTCATCTGTTGCTGCTGAGCACCTGTATATACCGTAACACCACGTAGTAGTATCATCAAATAACATTAGACAAATCCATACAGTAAACAGAGGATGTAGGAAAAAGAGACTAAGTTTTTATGTGGTTTTTTTTGCCTCCTCCATTCTTTGTTTACATTAACGGAGAATGATTTTTTGAAGAGAGCCAAGGCTCGATCTCATTATTATGCAATATTATCCTTAAAAAGGAGGCATTGGTGAGGTTGGCCAACGTATGCGAAGTGCTATTCGCAAAAGCAATGCGAGGGTACTTCAGTTACAGAACTATGATAATGATGCTTCTTACCCCTCTCCTCATCCGCTTTCTCATCTTCCCCAGCTACTGCTGTTACTGCTACTGCTACTTGACATCTTATTTATATTATTTGCCAGCTACGGCAAATGATTAACATGCCCTGCTCTTCCAAGCGATGGAACTGCAAATGACATTTTAGCATTTCAAGTATCTTAACAGAATACGCTTCAAAGCAAACTGCATCAACATATTCACAGCAATCAAAATAGGCGTTCTTGACCTTTCATAACAAGAAATCGCATATTTCGAGAATTTCGGTGAACGAATAGTAATCACTAATTTGAAAATTTAAAATTTACAAAGATCTGACGAAAAATGTTGAAAATCAAAAAATAGAAAATTACTTTTAAAAATTTGGAATCGTTTTAAAACTTGAAAGTTATGAAAAAATTTTGGAAATGTGCAAATCAAATTAGATGAACATAAAATGGTTCTCAAATGATCTTAACTTAATATGGGACCGTTAAGTGAACTTTTTCAGAGCAAAGTTCGAGGCTACGATTAATATTTAGAAGGAAACAAACAATATTTTTATTGAATTATTTTTTTAACATCAATAGCAGATTACAAAACAGGTGGAGACTGGGGAACACTTAGGATGATAAAAAAAATAAAAAAAAATGATGAGCAAACTTTACGAAACGCAAAAAGCATCAAAAATTGCAGAGTTTGGCATAATTTGCCCTCCGATTTGTATAATCCATGCAGTCTGTGCGGCATGTAAAAGCGACTTTGAAGATATTTCATATAAAGTGCAGAGTTCGTGAATATGCATCTATAATAAATAAGCATATCTGCCTAATAATATGTGTAAGAAACCCTCTGTGTATATGCCAAAAAACGCAACAATCAACAAGCTGTAAAAACGGATATGTAGTGAATGAGCCAAAACAAATTAAATGGAAGTGAAAACAAAAAAAATAATATAGCAGATGAAGTTAAGATCTGGCTAGGAGAACGAGAAAAGTAACAAAGTAAAAATGAAAGTAAAGCATTGCAGTAGCTAGGTTATTGAAGACAGACCGCGAAAAAACTCAAAAAATCGCACGGAGAAAATTGGAAAATG